AAAACTACTCTATGTATATATATATATATATATATATATATATACACATACATACTCATGTTTTACTTGTTGTGTACAGGTATACAAACGGCGGTCACGCGACATGGAAACGGAAACCGACGAGGATTTATTGCAGTTTCCGGCCAGCGGCTCTCTGGACGCCAGCAGTGGATCGTTATCGAGCGTGTCTCTGTCCGACAAGAGCATGTCAACGGACAACGTGGAGGAATACTTCGGGGATGTGCCGTTCGCAGGTAAACAGCAACGCACGCTTGGCTGCACCGCATGACGCTTCTTTCTGCCCACGTGTACATGCATAATCGTTGTGTTACGTCTTTGTTTCTTCTTATTTTGACCGTCTGCCTGACAACGATCGCCGTACCGGCAATCGTCATCTCCGGATGAAGCCAGTGAAATATCACTAACAATTTTATAATCGTTTTATACACGTACAATATATGTTGCAAAAGAAAAGAAACCATCGAATGCGTTCTTTCCACTCGTTTCTCGAAATTTTATCTTCTCATGATGATTCTCGCGTTGGAATAATTTGTAATTTCCGTTCTACGAGTTCAGGAAAACTTCGTTTCGCGTTTGTTGTTTCGCGTCGATTGTATTTACACCATGCTTTTGTTTCCACGATTTGGTGTACTATAGAAGTGTAGAATAATAATGGGACTTCACGAGCTTTTTTCTTGTTTTTTTTTTTTTTCGTTTTTTTTTTGTTTTCGATATAACATGCCGATCCGGAAGGTTTGATCTTTGGTATTATACCGGTTTTGTGAACCATCTATTGTATTATCGTTTCTACCTTTTTTTTCATCTTCTCTTCTCTTTTTCTCCTCATCATTTTATTTTTTTTTTTTTTTGTTCGTTTCGTATTTTGCATTGTCTGTCACGGGATCATTGTATTTCTGTACTTTGTGCCGATTTATCGAACTAATATTTTCCATTTGGTGGTTGTTCGCGATACGTCGGTTATACGGCGAAGTCATTCCGTGTGAACGTGTCAACGTATAAAGGTATACTGCGCGAAGGAAGATTTGTACGCGCGGAAAGATATCGCGTATGTAAATATTTCGAAACGTCCGTGAGAAATCCGGATTGATCGTTTGAATCGTGGTTGCGAGCCAATATTTCGTATGAAAATTACGTATACGTTTGTTCGTGTGTGTGTTTACGAAAATAGCGATTTCCGTCAAGTCTTTCATTCATCTTTCAAAGATTTTATTTTACGCCACATTCTTTTCGAAAATTAAATATATAATAATGATAATAAAACAAAATACATATGGAAATACGCTTTAAAATATTAATATTAATTGTGACGTATGCATACTTTACTTATTAACATAACATTAAAAGATTCACTTCACTCTCATTGATGATTAATAAATCTCATGATTAATAAATCCAAATCGAATCTGAGAACGAACCTTCCGGAACAGACTTTCAAGATTTTATCGCAAAAAGAAAAAAAAAAGATATATCTTGATCAAAACGAAGAAAGAAAGACAGACAGAGGATTATTAAAGTACGAAAGTATCATGGATCACGGGTTGTTCTGCAGGGCACGTGCAACTCGTCGCTCTTGACTTCTGAAAAATGAACACTTTAGTATTAAGAATTCGCAAGAATAAAAAGAGAGAAGAAAAAAAGAGAAAACATAAAGAAAAATATCAATTTATAATGAAACTGCTAGAATTTCGATTCTAATATCGTAACGGGTGCTAAAAATAATTCTTTCTCGTTGGATGAGAATAAAATTTCAATATCTTAATAAGCGCAAAAAATATTTCGTGTAAACAAAATTATTTAATATTAATATTCCCTGCAGTTAGAGTTAAAGTTAAATATGCTTCGTGTCCGCGTTAAATGTCCTTTTATTCGGCGGTTTTGCGCGAAGAATTTTTCCGCGAGACAAAACACTCGGATGCCGGAAGTCGTCATCCTTTCCGGTTACCAGACTACTCGCTGATGGGGGACAAGAGGCGCGATCAATAGCGTAGAAAATGCTACTATTGCAATATATTACGTATGATTAATGTTTTCGAATAGTTCCTTAGATTATTTTTACGTTAATTTGTTAACTGTGATGTATACACGGGTATATAAAGGGTGTTGCAAGATTTTGAAATTTGGAAGCGTGGGACGTGCCTCGAGAAAAGATTAAATTTATGGAATTGAAGATATATATATATAACAATTTTTATTTTTTTTTTATCACGTCTGATGATTATGATATATTAGAATTATTGGAAAGTGATTAGAGTGACAAGAAGAAAAAAGCTTCATTTTTATTTTCAATCGTGAAAAATATATATAATAAATTTAAGTAATTTTTTTTTTTTTTAATGTTATTTTAAATGCTTTGGTAGCTATGATTAATTAGAATTATTGATTTTTTTTGTTAGTTTTATGAAATGTATTTTTGTTTATTTTCGTTCAAATTAGCAAATCAGTTAATTATCCAAGTAGAAGTTTGCTTTGATGGTATTTATTTGTAGATGCGAAGAAAATTATGCACTTAGAATATGTGAATAAAAAAAATTTTTTTAAAGAATTTTTTTTTTAAAGTTTATAACATAGCTGCATATTTTATTTTGATTGAAATTATACGAAAAAGATATCAATTAATTTATATAACATTATATTCAAAATAATTAATTATAATTTTAGGAAAAATCTAAAAATACATCAAGAAGTCTTATATTTATCAGTAAATTTGAAAAAGAAAGGGAGAAAGAAATTCAACATTATTTAATGTATATTACTTAAAAAAACTTTATCATTATTTATAAGAAAAACAAAAAAGTTAATTATTATTATATATATATATATTTTTTTTTTTTAGAAAATTTTATAAAATATTTTTATTTTTTACTTCCACTTGCTTCCAAATCTTTTGTAATCCTTTCATTTATCACCACCCTGTATATACAAATATTGCGTACTATATATATATGATATATTTGTAAAAAATTTATGAAGATTATTATATCGAATGTTTTATTGATTGTTTTTTTTTTGAATAGAGTATATATTATATTTTCTATACATTTATTAATCACTAATTACATACATTGGTAACCACTTATGTAAATACATGCCTTTTTTTTTTAAACAGATATTGATGTATCATAAAGATATAATCTTTAACTGTTAAAACTCGTAAATCAACATATACATATTCTATACAATCATATGTATACTCTGTAGTGACTATTTGTCGTTTTCCTTTCACATTTTAATTATACAAGTCGTAATAAGTAATTTAATGGAAATGAACGTCAAGTCGTATTCACATGAAAAATGTATAATAGCGATAAAAAAATTCATACGTACTATTGAAAAAGAATTTTGGACATCCGTGGAATTTCAATTTTTTTTATGTGAAAGATTATTATTCGTCATTGTAGATCGTAGATTTATGCATAAGTGAAAGTATTTCATCGACAAATGGATGCTCTAATGATCATGGAACGTCACATATATTAGTTAGAAAGTCGTAGATAGATTCCTTCTCGATGTTTTTTTTTCGATGCTAAACATCTTTTTCTAACTGCCCATTTTCAAACTTCAAAATCTATTTTAATTTTTATGGATATAAATATTTTTTTATTATTAATATATAAAAAACTGCCACATATTAATCAGACTTTTAGTAATAGATATATCGAAAAAGAGAATCGATTTTTTTTAATTATTCATCGAGAATGGAAACTATGCACTGCTAGAGGGCGCTCCATGTACTGTCAAGCTCATAGGTTAAGCAATTTGATTTGTTACACAGAATTTTATTAGGCCATGGTATATATACATAAATAGTTTATTTTGTGATTGATTTTTACATTTTATTTTATGTTAAACGCTTCCGTCTAGTTATTGTAATCGCTGGACGAGTATTCACGAGTAATAAGAGAAAATATAGTATAGATAACCTATATCTCTTAGATGTAGGGCGGTACACTTAGAAAGTATAACATATAAATATGCGATTATAGTGCGTTATATCGATATCATTGGTGTGCTATAATAAACGTTATGCTGCTGTGTAATGCGATGTCTTGAATTATTTTTTGTCGCTTTCGTACACTCATCGAGCTTTGTCACTTGGTCCCTATTTTTCTTTATCGCGTTAGTATCGTTCATAAACTTACTTTTCCAACTCGTTATTTTTACTTCACGAAGACATCTTTTACTTCGATCTTTAATCGAATCACATTTCAATTGTTTCGCGAAACAATATTGCGACTAGTTCAATGACAAGTGAAATTATCCTCGTTTAAATTTCCTTTCCTGAAAAATAAAAGTGATTAAAATATTATGTTGATTGCCCTCTTAATTCTTTTGTTTTTTTTTAAATTTGATTGAACGAACAGCGACTAAATTTGAATCACGATGCTTTCGAGATGTGTATAGTAAATTTTTGCGACATGCTGCGTTCTTGTTGTGACAGTATTATTGTACGTTTAATAAGTCGAATTGCATGCGAGTGAAACAAATTATTATCAACAAGATTGCGTGCAAGTATTTTTTCTATTTTCTCATCATTGAAATAAGCCTAACAAGGATCATGATTATTTCGAGTTTTTCAAATGATTCACGGTAAGTTATCTATTTGTATATAAATAATTATATTTTTAATTATTTTTATCTACTTACAATTGTTTTACAAAAAATTTTCATACTTATTTCTTTACTTTTTCATTTTGTACATCATATTGTACATAGTCTCTGTAAATATTATAATGCATTCACTTTTATTAAAACTTTTTTATTCTAAAATTGTTGCTAACAAAAAAGAATAAAACGTTGAATTTATCCGCGAGCAAGAAAACGATGCATCGATTTATCTTTTCACTTGTTGGCATGCATATTCATTATTATCATTTTTATTATTGATCTATATGATCTAATTATGCAACTCTCATTGCTGTACTCGGATCATATTAGTTTTAATATGATCGAATATTATTCTGTCCATCATTAATAGCATTTTCCATTTTAATTATTTTACATTTAAAACTTGCAATGTTGAAAATACTATTCTAAAAAACAAAGCAAATACAAAAATTAATAACTAAAATGGTTGAGATTTATTTATTAAGCTATTTATCATAAATAATTGAATTTGTGTTATATAAACCGAGATAGAAATAAAATAAGATAACCTATCTTCGTCATTATCGTTTTGTCTTGCTTCATTTAATATAAACTTCAATTTCTTATAATTTAATAAATAAGTTTCAATCATAATTTTTATACCAGTTTTTATATTTGTTTTATTTTTTAGAATCAACTCTTCATAAGTATTTTACGAATATATTAATATTTTATATAGAAAATTGCAAGAATATTGCAAAATATAACTCAAAACAGACTGGAAAATAATAATATAAAATTTCCACATGGAACATGGTGTAGAATTCTAAAAAAAGGATAATGAGAAAGTTTTCTGATAGATCCGACGCTTTTTCCAATTATTTACACATAATTTTCGCGTATAGGGATATTTTTGTAATGTTTGACAAGAAACCGAGCACAATATTGTAATCTAATTGCACGCGTCTCTTTCCGACCGACGAATTAATGAAAAAGTGGAACAAGGTGAGATTCCAACCAACGACATGCGTCCTCTTATATTATTAACCTTATCCTCTTAATTATTTTCATCCGCACGCGCCCGTTTATAGCTTACACAACGCCATATTGGAAACCCGATAGTATTGCACCGACTCAAAATGAGCGGGCAAATTGAAATCTTGATGATATTTGCTTTCGATCAATGATGATCGTCATTGTTGCAAAATAAATTTCTTAATCGCTTTATTGTTCTTTATATCATGAGTTCATTGTCACAGACATTGTTATAGTAGATAAATTAATGATTATAAAAATAATCTAAAGATAGGTTTACATTTCATCTTGGAAAAATATTTTATTTTTGCATTTTCTTTTATACATTTTAATAGCTTTTTTAACTTTTCACTTTAATTTTAAATTATTTTATAGCTTCTCTTTTAAAAAAAATTTAAAGTAATTTTTTATTAATTTTTATTAATCACTTTGAAAAATTTTCTATATTTTTCGCGGGAAAATTTAAATTTTGATTAGTTTATTTATACATGTCTAACCAAGAAAATATTACCATTAATTATTTCTTCAATCATAGTTAAATTATTTAAATTAGTTTATTTAATATTTAACTATTCTTAACAAAATTTTATTAATATATGTTATTATAATTAACTATAAAAAATAAACAATGAATTAATTTGTCTATTTTTTTCATATCATTTTATAATTACTGTAGCACAGTTATCGTATACTATGAGTTGATCCATAATATTTCTGGAGCAATAATTCATCGCTAGAGAAACTACCGTTCATACATTAACGTGATATCTGTAGATAGTCGGCACTAGATCAACAGACGGTTTAGTCTGCCTTATCGACACCATGAGTTACGCTCGTTTTTAGTGATAACTGACGCACGCGCGCATCTACGCGCTCTTCCCTACGCTCGTTATCGTGTGCTTCAAAGAATCTGCTTGTCGTAGGTTTGGGATTTTCGATAATAACCACATTTATCTACATTAGTCTTGCTCACGAAATCTTTCATTTTAAAAACTCGTTTATTATATATGTTTTAGTCATTAGTAGAACATATACTAATAAAATGTATAAATTGTAGATTACTTTACTTGAATGTATGTTTGTTGAAATAAATTTTAATATTAAATTCAATTTAAATATTAATTTAAGTTTATTTTTGACATCAATTTGTTTAACATATTCTTGAATACAATAAAAACTTTTTCGTTAAGAATAAGTATTTTAACTTTAATTAGATCAATATTAAATTTTGCAAATATTGTATAATGTAATTACTAAATTAAGATTCATCTTATTTAATTTTTACTTTATAAAAAGATTAATTAATGAAAAAGGTAAAATTAATATTCATCGTTTCTTGACTATAGTTATTACAGAATGTTGAAAGCAAGGAAAGTTCACGTTCTATATTTAGATATTCTATTTGCAATAAGACTACTCTGAACGGTTAACCTAATATACAAAGTGGTTTTCAGTTACAGTTATATGTAATATGCAATATGAATAAAAAAATAATTAGTAAAAAGACTAATTGATAATGTAGATCTTTGATCTTCGATTTGTAAAATATCTATTCTGATCTATACATGTGACAATATTACAAGTAACTGTTGTTTATAGTTACATAGCATACATAGCATATCGAGAAAGAACGGGATTTCAATTGCTAGATCGAGATCTGAATTTGTATTTCCATTTCCCGGATGACTACAAATTAAACTGTACAAGTTGCTGATAGATTTCTCCTTATTCTGACATTTGGGTCACAAGCATTAGTATAATTATAAACATTTATTTATCCATTCTATGATATTCTTATGAAAGTGTAAATTTTAACGATTCGCTAGAAATTCTTAGTTTCTCTTTAATTTATTTATTAATTTCTTTTATAGCCATTTTTATAACTACAATCTGAATTAAATTTGAAATAAAAAATTAAAACTGAAATGAATATGCTAAATTTCCTTAAACAGAAGATGTTTATAGCATCATAAACTCAATTTAAAGTTACATTATATAAATTGTTTTTTCGTAAAAAAAAAAAAAGACAAAATTAAAATTCACCAAATATACATATAATATACATAGCATTTCAGATGCAAGATAATTCTTTAGTATATAACTTCATGTTGCAACTGCATGCTGTCGCATAATTCGGCTCGGTTAACATCGCTCGTCCGATTTGGTAGCAACGTCCGCATGAACGTTAATATACCTTACAATAAGGCAAACCACATCATGACATCCGGTTGAATACGGTACATGTTACGGCACAAGTACTTACGCATTGCCAAAGTGATAACAGTTTGTCTATTCATCTTTTTCATACACAGAAGGAAAATCGTAACGGATACAATCGAGTTTTCAATAGTAAATATCTGTTTTTTCCTCATTGGAATCTTGGACCATTTCGAAAGTCGTTTAATCAAAATCTGATGCTCACTGTTATAATATTTTTGGTTATTCCTGATGAAAAGAATAAATATAAGATTATTTTCTTTTTTTTTTTCGAAGGAAATAAATGAAACTTTAATTGATTATATTTAATGTGATAACAATAATAATGAATGAATAGAAATTTTAATAGTTAAATGAAAAAGAAAAATTATTATTCTGTTTATATATAAACAGCATTTCACTATTTTACATTGTATATTCATATTTTCTATAATGAAAGCAATTTTTTTAAAATCATGTTTTTAATATATCATACAACTTGAGAAAGTCTTGTCTTATATTATTATTCATTACAACTAGTTTTACATGATAGAAAAAGAAATATACCTATATCTACAAGTGTATATTTCAACACGTTCGGTAGTGAATGCATTGAAAATACATTTCAAAGCACGTAGCAAGATTGTCAGAGGCAAGACGTGTACCCAGAGAACAGGACAACGTCTCGTTTGACAAATGATATGTTGTATCTTATCGCTGTTTATCTCTTCGGTTGTAACCGGCAATCTCTCACCATCTTCAAATAAATCAGTATTCTGTCTCCGGCATCTCACGAGAAAAATCTATAAAAAGGAATATTCGATGTAATTTTCTGCTCATTTTTTCCCAAATCATATTTTTTTTTTTACAATGTTGTTAGCAATTTGGTAAGTAAAGAAAAATTCATTTTAAATATTTTTTATATTGTATCAAAACTAAAAGAAAAATATATTTTTTGAAACATAAAATTCTTTTTTCAATTAGTAATCTTAAAATTTCTTTGATATTCTCAAACATAAAAGAATAAAATAAATTAAGTAATATTTCAATTTTGCATTTTTGACATATATCATAATATTCATATTTTTAAAAACATTCACAAATTATATATCAAGATATTTATATCAAGATTATATATTTCTAAACATACATACATATGTATTTTATCTTTCAATTTATTATTTTTTAATATAAAAAATTAATATATTTTATTTGTATTTTTCAATTTAATAAATTTAATAAATTGATAAATGAATTGGAGAAAATTAAATGTTAAAATGTAAAGTTAGATTGCAATGATAAATAATACTTGTGTAAATAATAATTATTAGAAAGAAACTATATACTAGGCAAATAGTATATTGAGTCAAGGGTGACAAAAGCTTTGTTGTAACAATTTCATCAAAGAGAAAAAACATGAAGTTTGTTGAACGATGAATCGCAACATAGGGAAACCGGAATTTACTTTCAGCAAGCTGGTTAATCTTTCATTGTGTTCCGTTTATGACCGTGACGGAAAGTGTGCACCTCTTTGTTGCCAGCCGGAAGAACGCGGAAATTCGTGCTCAAAATCGACAATCGAAATCAATAATCGAAGTCAACAATTTGAAATCGCGATTGTCGCGATTGTCATTCAATCCTGTCCTATTATTCTTCGTATTCCATAAACAATCGAGGATTTTAAATCGTTGCCCATTGATATTTAGAATCTAAAATACAAAAAAAAAAATAGAAAATTAACTTACATTTTTCTAAATTGTTTCCTTTCTACTTAAAATTCTATTTTTTTTTTTTTTTTTTTTTTTAACAAAGATTATAGTTAGTTTTAAATTTATTTACATAATAAACGTATCTTTCGAAGTTATTTAACAACTAACTAATAAAATTGATTTCGTTAAAAATCTTATATATGTTTTTGAAAATTCTTAGTATATACTTGATCACAGTCAGCAATTTACATTAGTTGCTGTTATATTAGATTCTCCTTTAAATTCCAAAATATTTTCTTCGTCAAGTATTAAAGTTAGGAACATTGAAGTTCTTGAAAATTGTTCCTTTCTACTTAAAATTCTATTTTTTTTTTTTTTTTTTAACAAAGATTATAGTTAGTTTTAAATTTATTTACATAATAAACGTATCTTTCGAAGTTATTTAACAACTAACTAATAAAATTGATTTCGTTAAAAATCTTATATATGTTTTTGAAAATTCTTAGTATATACTTGATCACAGTCAGCAATTTACATTAGTTGCTGTTATATTAGATTCTCCTTTAAATTCCAAAATATTTTCTTCGTCAAGTATTAAAGTTAGGAACATTGAAGTTCTTGAAATATATTTAGTATATACTTTTTTTACTTGAATATTTAATTTTTTCTAAAAAAAGAAAAAAAATAAATTAAAATAAACTTATAAAGTCTAAATATTAAATTAACTAAGTAACCAGATTAAAAATAATTATATCCTTTACTTCATATTCTAAATTAAAAAATATATTATTTGACCAATATTATAAAATATATTATAAAAAATAATTCAAATTTAAATACAATTTGTTCACAATAATATTCCATTTCCATAATAAAAATATCATAGTCACAACATTACTATTTTTGTTTTATCAACGAACACGTGTTTCTAATGTCCACACTGATTCATACATTATCACATATGTTCCCTTCCAAATACATAAATTAAATAGAAGAAAACAAGAAAAAAACAAAAATAATTATTTACCACTACATCAAAGTAAACATCTACAAAGATCATTGACTTTATTTTTCTTATGAGTCTCACAAGAAATTTTTAATTAACGACCTAACCTCATTGCGAAATTAATTCTGAACAACGGCGATAAACCGAACGTTCCCAGCTAATGGGTAATCGCATCGTAGCTTCACTTATCGCATCAATTACGAGATTGCTCGAATTATCTATGAACTGCGTCGTCGTATGCGAGAAAAAGTCATTGCAAATGATCGCCGAAAGAACGCAACGCGACAAAGTTGCGTGACTCATGCACCACGGCTAATGCATTCCACCATGATGTCATAATCTCGCTCTCATGCGAGCTTCTTCCTCCTTCAAAAGGAAACTTTCGATCTTATTTTACATAGTATTTTACTCATTTGCTTTTTTTCGTTTCCGTGTTTTTTTTTTGTTAATTGTGTCCTGGTCTTACAAATGACAAGGAAAAAATGGAGATATAATTGTTAGGTTAATACTGTTACATGAAACTTGTTTGGTTGACAGTTCGATTGATTACAATGCATTGATATGTAATTGTAGGTAATTTGTTAAATGATTGGATTTTATGAAATTTTTTGTTTTATGAAAAATATACTTGATTTTTTTGGATATTGGAAAAACAATTAATTGCAAAAAATTTAAATTTCAAAATAATATTAAATAAATTGTAATATAATATCTGTCAAGAAGAAGATTTAGAAACTATAAAAGTTTTTTTTATATTCGATGAAATTATTAATTTAAAAACTATATCATATAATAAAAAAGAAAAAGAAATCATTATTTCATTTCTAGACGGTAATAAATGAATGCTTTGATATCCAAAGTTAACCTAAAAATTACTTTGATCACATAAAATAACTTGATTAACAAAAAATATAGAAGGTTCATATATTAGGTTCATATATAGAAATAATAAAATTACTTCATATATATCATATCTAATTAAATTCTCTACTGAATTAATAATTCTCTAAATTTTAACAATTTAATATGAATAGAGACAAAACACATTCCTCATCGTTGCAAAGTTAAAAGAGAATTAAGAACTATTACGTGTACTCACTCTCGTATTATACATCTTTATAATCATCCTTTGCAGAGACATCAATGTTGGAACGTGGCGATAAATCGTAATTCCAGACAAATCTACGATCGAATTCGAGGAAGAGGTGCGGTTCACGCGGGCGTAAAACGAATCGCTAAAGGATGGTTCTCACATTCGCGTGGACGATCACGGCTTTTACCGACGACGTAATTACTCGTTGCTCAGTTGCGTCTATTGATCTTAAACGGAAGCAACCGGGGCCTTAGGTGTGCTTCGCACGCACGCAGCGCGCATTTTAATGGAAGACGTACCGTTTCCTCTGTACCGGAATGGATTAGTCATGACCTCCAAGAAGTTTCCCAGAAAGCTAGTGTAACGAACTCAACGACGGCACTTCGAATGACGTGTACGACGAATCATGTTTTCTACAAGAGTATTCATGTATTGCTCGTGTCAACATTGATTAGATCGACAATCGCATGATGATAATTTGATTCAATTAGTTTATAAAGATAGTTTTATTTTGGTGTCGTTGAATTTTTTTTGTTGCTTGTTACTTTAAATGATTCATTTAAAAAAATAATGTTAGAATTAGATTAATTTATTCACTATTATTTAATGTAATGCATCATACAAAAATATTTATTATCTAAAAACGTTCAAATTAATATCATGTTTTGTTCTTCTATTTTTAATTAATTAATTAGTTTAAATTTGTATAAAAATTAAAAATTTTAATGATATCCATTGATTCAAACGTTCAATTTCATATACATTTTAAAATTAAATTTGATATAAAGTTGCATCTTATTTCATTATTTTCGTGTATCTTCATGTCAGTTTGCATTATACGCGATGATTCAGGTATAAGATAATTACATAGTATGAAATGCGTGAACAAGCGCAACTTTCAACCTCGAAAATGTGTCTTCTATTCATTAACATGACAATGGTCGACCCTGGTCAGCTGAAACGAACCTTCACTATATACAAGCGTGCTCCACGAGTGTAGATTCATTGTCTGTTCTGTGCCATTCAATTCTTCTTCAGGGTCGTCTGCATGTTTTTGAAGACCTGGAACTTTACAGGCTTCGAAAGTTCGAAAATCGACTAATTCTTCCTTGGAAAACTTTCATGTAAATATAGCTAACTAAAAAATTACATTATAATGTTGCAAATTTAGTTTTTCATAAGTAGAAAGTTGCATTCTAAAAATTATTATAAATTAATTAATTATAATTAATTATTGAATATCATTTCAAAATTAAACTGTCTTAACAAAAGCATCATAAAAAACTCTTATTATGCAATCATTTATTATAATTATTATAATACAATATTAAATTGTTTTAAATTTCAGAAATTTATTTTAACTAGTAAAATATTTTCAACCTTTGAATTCAATCTTCAAAGTATTTTTTATCTTTTCTATAAATTCCTCGACCCATAAAACTAGGTTAATCTCCACATACCAAAACTCAACGCCCAACGAGCAAAAAAGAGATTAATGTGCCAATGACGAAATATTCACGACATCCGTCCTTCCTCTCTTCATCATTCCAACTAATGGTAGCGTTTAATTCGGTCTGGGGTCCCAACGAATACTAGTCCCATCTCTGGGGTCATCTTTCCATACGAACAACACACTGGTCTGTCGGCTATACGAGTCGGATGACTTTTAATGCATCTCTGTTCCTCCTTACCGGCTGTTCGCCTCTCCCTTTCCTTTCTTTATTGTCCGGCTGGTAAGTGCGGGTGGTGAGGACTGGACCTCCCCCTCCCTCTCTTCACGCTACTCCTACTCGTACACGTTGCCACCACCACCATCGTGCAACTGCTCCTCGTGGACCTAACACGTTCGAATTAGTCGTCTCGTTAACCAGCCTCGTGGTGCATCGTCGATTAACTTCGCGTTTATTTCTCCCGAATGATTGAATTTCTCTAGTTTGGTGAACAATACGAGAAACAATAAACACAGGTCAATATCGCGATTTGTTACGTGTTGCTTACTTTGATCGGTGCACGACGAATCCTTCGGTGCTGAAATTGAACTGGACCTGCGCGAACCTGGCTCGGTTGATAGACCGGTTTTGTCGTTCCATCGGGCTTCCATCCGGAATCACTGGCCTGAATGTATGTTGCTGGGAGCTTGATTGGAGGTTAGGAAAAAGTTGAAAAAATAATAAAATAGAGATTTGTATGTTAGATGATATTAGATTATACAACAAAGAAAGAAAATTTGTTAATTGATTAAAGAATGTAGATTTATTGATACCTTGTGAGTGATTAGTTATGTTTGACAATCTTTCATTTAAAGTTTATTGATCCATAAATTATTTATTACTATAAAAAACTTGCATGTTTATTAATTAATTTTATCACTTAATATAAAATTGTAATTTTAATGAGTGAAGGAAAAATAATTAAAAAATTAAAATTTATTCATCAGAAGTGCGCATGATCAATATATCTTGAAGATTTATAATTATATGAATCATCATTTTTGTCAACGAAAATCCAATCAAACAAAATATTATTTTTACGTTCATTGATAAGTTATCAAATAACTAATTATTATAAATTTCACGATTATGGCAATTGCACTTTTATCAGCTTTGCTGGAGATTTCTGATTCGATTGAAACGGAAATTTGTCGAAAGCCCGGTGCTTGACTCACGCACAGGTAGACTGGGGAAGGGCAACGTAGGGTCACGTGTCCCGAGTCGAACGAGAATCGATTGAACCGCCGGGATCGGGCGCCAGTGTGCATCGAGACGAGGATCGATCGAGGCAGGTGGATCATCGCGTGCGATTTGTGCGGGTAGGGCGTGTCGCATGTTGCTCGCGTTAGAAAACCAATGTTTTTGTTATATTATATTAACTATAGTGAAATTACAATATGAACAGCATGATATATAACATTGACACATATATTTTATGTTAGAATTGTAAAAATTAACATAATAGTGAGGTGTCATTATTTTTTGTTTAATATTGAATTATTATGATATGACAAGTGTATAAGAAAAGTGTTTCTGATTGGTGTAAGAAGTGGAATATTATTATATATATTGTGATTTTTTTAGAAAGGAAAAGAGGAACATACTAAAAGGTGATAATATACAAGATATTTTCGAGATAAAGTCATTAACACAGTGTATATGTTTTTTTTACTATTTTCAAACAAAAGATAATCGGCATTAGAATAGGTTTAGAATCAAGTTAATAGTGTCAAATATGGAAAATATGAAAATTTAACATAATTATATATTATTTAGGTAACTTTATAACCAATTATTAATTATTAAACCATGATATACACTAATAAAATTTGTCCAAAACATTTTCATAAAATTATAAAAAAAATATAACTAGATAAATATTATATAAAATGTTTGCCAACGACAAACATTAAAATTACGCCTTTATAAATATCGCACTACATTATCTCACTAGCAGACGGACGAAATCGAGCGTAGATATATTATATATACGGGTGTAACAGCTGCGTAGAAATTTTTACAAAATAACACACGTGTCCATTGCAAGGGTCCTAATTTTCCAAAAGTCAATGAATCGTTAACCGGTTGTATAACTATATAACCATTGTTCATGTCAGTAGTTACGAACTTGGAGGCGCGCATGTCGTATCCTATCCAGAAGGAAAAAGGACATCTGGTGAACTAGCAGGAAAAGAGAAAAACGAGAGTCGGTAATAGGGGAGTGTTAAACTTTCTGTGCTTTCTTCAGTGTTATTACGTGCCCTCTCTTCGACGTTTCGTGTACACGCGCGAGCGCGCGTCAGAGCGTGCATTAGTGCCACGTGCACTCGCCAAGGGAATCCTGCATGGCTGGAGTTCCTGGCATGCCTGGCAAAAACCGCGATACTTGTTGCTCGTCGCGTGGCCTGATGTAATAATAGTTCGTCCACTCGTTGCGTCACGTTCGAGGACGCGTCGCGAGTCGAGAAATCGTCGTCTCGATATCATTCGTGGGCATGCGATACATCGTTGGAAAGAGATAGAGAAAAACTGAGTGCGCAGCAAATTAACGTGTTTCGAGACGGAAAAGTAAATAAATTATGATACATCAAAAGATATTGCGCCTTTTATAATAGCAGGTATTAAAATGAATGGTTGAAATTAATGAAAAATATGTATCATTATACCATAGAAAAATATAAAATCAGGGAAAAAAACAAAAATAATAATTCGATAATTTTATAATTTTACGATAAAAAAATCTTTCGAAATTGGTTAATATCATAAATCATAATAACTATCAATAAGATAACTTGATGTTTCAAAATATAATAATATAGAAAAATAAAGAAATATAATAAAAAGATAAAAAAAGATTTTTGATGTCAAGATTATCGAAGTCATTTGATTAAAAATTCTGTCCCTCGAATTTCGTCCTAAATTGGATTAAATACAAGTATACACTTGATTGAACCTAATTATTTGATTGAAATCTGTTGGCTTATTCTCGTAACGCTCATTTTTACAATTTACGCAAGTTTCTTTTACCGGTTTTTTTATAGCTTCCACCTGTCTCATTTTCTTTTCTTTCGTCTTATACTGAGAAAGGATAGTTATCTCGAATATAATTGAGGTAGTATATGTTCTTTTATCTAGTAGTAGTACCGCGTTCTTTCGTCGAAACGCATTCTTCTAGAGAAAACATTGTCAAAGAAAGTTAGAAATATTTTCTTCACGAATCACGTATATTACATTAAAATATTAAGAATAATTTAGGTTATGATATAGAATTTCATAAAATTGATCAGTGATTAAAATGCATAACCTAACATTTATAAATGTTAATATGATTTAAATAGAAATGTCATCTTATATGTTCATATTTTTAATATTTCTTTTTTCTTATTTGACAAGACATTATAATGCTAATTGCTAATTGATTTTATCATTTTGTATCATGATTCATAATATACTACTAGTCTATTATTCTGATATAGAACATTAGAAACTCATTAGAAATAAGCTATAAGGTTATGTCTCTCATGAAATTTATGTTGTTCGGCCAGTTTATTTCTATCTTGCAATTCTGGTATTTTTAGGTACGATTCTATGTTTGACTGTGACTCTTGCCTCATGTGTTATGTTATAATCCAGCCTCGAAATATAGCGTACATCTGGGCAAATATACAGTTCGATTTCACGAGCGCATCCGACGAATAACAATTGACTGGCAATCGAGACGGTCTGCTTTGTTCCGTTTTTAACTTCTCAACGAAGGAAAGATAACATCCTTTGAAAGAAACGTGTTTATATGATTTTCTTCGTTTTACGATTTGTGTTCAGGATATCTTTATTGAAATTTCATAATTTTTTTATATTTAAATTTTGTTGGATTTAAATTGCATGCGTTTTTAGAGGTTATGGAGAGTACAGAAAGAAGAAAGGAAATATTCCTTGATCAAGGTATACTATGTGAGGTTATGTTTATTATGTATTAGAAAATGTATAGTTGACATAAATTATTAGATTGAAATTAATATTTCAAACTTTGTAATTAGCATAATGCTTTAAAATTTTATTAAAAATTATTTACACTTCATCGTAACATTCTTTCAAAAATGTTGTAACGAAATTTCAAAAGAAATTTCTGTTTATCATTGTAAATCAATATCCATCTCCAAGTATTTATTTATCGAAATCTGATATTTGTAAGATGTTCTTTTCACAACTTTATGAGTTAATATAACAGAATGAATTGTATATAAATACAGTTGTAAATCAGCCAAACAACAGATATTTCTACAATACATGTTTTACAATAACCATATATTATCACACGTTTACTGTATACATTTTAACTGAAGATAATTCTTACAATTGTCAGATGCGTAAAAGTAAAAGCCATTAAAATTATTTGAAAACATTTAAAAGCATTTCGTAATAAAATACCCAAATGTAGTTATAGGAATAAATTACATGTAAAATCGACTGATCGTGCAATATTAGGTAATGAAAAGTAGACTCGCATGTTAATTATATGTAATTATAATAAGCAATAGCGATGTTAGGACACATACATAATTTTATCTTTAATACCACTCTTCGTCGACATTTTCTTTCATATAAACGCGAAAATGAGCGAACGATAAGCGAACGAAACTGTTCAAGGTTCCGGTTAAGTCCGCGCATCAATCGTTCGACTGATTGCAATAATTCTGCCCCCTTATTCGCTGGCTCTGATCGTTTTCTCGGGACGATGGCCTTCCTCGAAGTGATTTCGCGCGATTATGCTTTTCAATGCCGCCAGTATTTAATTATGCGCTCGAGCGGCCGCGATTTGTCGAGAGAGGTCGAAGTGTTCACAGTGCTCGTATTACCGCGTAAATGCCCGTGAATTCTCGGCATGTTAATGTTAATATACCTTGCCCCATAAATGCTTTCAGTCTATAGCGATAACGATTGCATTTCATGGAGACAAACAGAGATAAACCGAGAATTTCCCTGGAACGTTATTCCCTAGAACGGATTAAAATGATAGAGAATGGAAGAAATAAGTCTCACTATTTCTTGTGCATTTAAATATGTGTTATTATTAAGTATTAATGTATTAATTATTTATTTAATTTAAAATTTTTTTTAATAGAAAATTAGTAATATCAATATAGTAATATGATATAGATACATGTATTCTTAAAATCATGTTCAGAAACATGCATTCTTAAAATCATGTTCAGAAAACCTGTTACAGCGATTTTGAAAATCTAATTTTTGAAATTAGAGAATAAATTTGAATAAATTTCATCATTTAAATATTTGATTAATTTTGTTTCTTTTATAAATCTCTAAGAATTTTTTTTATCAAATTATTTAATTTTATCTTGGATTTATCTTATCTTTAAGGGAAAATATTATATTAATTTTATATTTTTAGATTTTAATTTATTTGAATTTCATTATAGATGTTGAAAATAAATGGATTAAATTTTATAAAAAGGAATTATACTGAAACTTATTAATATTATCTATATTTTTCCGCAAATTATCTATGTAATTTAAATATGTAATTTAAATAAATATCGATATATTAAGATACGAATCATGTATGCATACATTAACAAAAATTTATCAGTGTAATATACATGAATTAAAAATATTAATTATATATACAGATATCGAATGCATAATTATCTGAAAACTAAGAACATGGATTTTAATTCCCTAATATAATTGTGTCGCGTATTCAACGTTTCTCTTCGACAAATCGTAAACTCTTAGAAAAGAAGAATATTTCCCAATGAATATTTTTTTTCCTTCCATCGTTCGATGAATTTAATTTGTTCACCAAAAATGTCTGATGTCGATTACGAACGATTTAACGCATTATTAAGAATTCCTTTC